AAAGAACGAGTTTGAGGAAGACAGCAGAAGATGGAAGAACCGCCTATGCTCATGGATTGGAAGAATTAATGTTGTGAAACTGACTGTCCTGACAAAAGCAATATATAGATTCAATGCCTTTCCAATCAAAATCACCCTGACATACTTGACAGAATTAGAAAAAAAATCTTTAAATTCATTTGGAAGCACAAAAGACCCTGGATAGCTAGAGCAACCCTGCCACAAAGAACAACAATGGGAGGATCACTATACCAGATTTTAAGCTGTACTACAGAGCTATAGTTATAAAAACAACATGGTACTGGCACAAAAATAGACCCATAGATCAAGAGAAAAAAAATCAAAGACCCAAATATGAATACATTCCATTTCAGCCACCTGATATTTGACAAAGGGGTTAAGAATACTCACTGGAGGAAAGACAGCATGTTCAGCAAATGGTGCTGGCAAAACTGGATCTCCACCTGTAAAGAATGTAACTAAGCCCCTATCTTTCACCCTGAACTAAAGTGAATTCCAAATGGCTCAAAGACTTCAATGTAAAGCCTGAAACTCTGAAACTGTTAGAAGAAAACATTGGGAAAAATCTACAAGATATAGGTGCAGGAAAGGATTTTCTAAACTGGACATCAATTGCTCAGGAAACAAGGGCAAGAATTAACAAATGGGCCCTCATTAAACTAAAAATCTTCTGTAAAATACACATACAACACATACAACAACTCCCTTTGAGTTGTTGGTCAGGGTAGTCCAAGACACTCCCAAAGTAACCCGGGCTATTGTCACAGTCCTTGATTGTCTCCCAGAAATTGAAGATAAGACCCTATTGCTGAAGACAGGACATCCTTTGGAGACAGGACGTGGAACTGACATGGAGGCCTCTTTCCTGAAGACTAGCTCCTACAATAACAGAAGATACCTTGAAAAGCATCAAGGACGAAAATGAGGATCCCATCCAGCTGTATACTCTATGACCCACAACAATCCGTGGCCCAGCAGGTAATCTCTAGTGGTGCAGTAGTGGAGCTTTCATCCTGGAGGTAATTAACAGTTGTCTTATTGGACTTAAGGCCCACTCAGTGGGGAGTGGCATTCTTAAAAAACTAAAAATGAACCCACCATTTCATCCAGTTATACTACTCCTTGGCATATACCCAAAGAACTCATCCTATTGCAGAGACACTTGTACATCCATGTTTGTTGCTGCTCTCTTCACAATAGCTAAGAGGTGGAAGCAACTTAAGTGTCCCTCAATTAATGAGTCGATAATGAAAATGTGGTTCGTTTATACGATGGAGTTTTACTCAGCAGTAAAGAAAGATGAAATCATGAAATTTGCAGGTAAATGGATGGAACTAGGAATTGTTATATTAAGTGAAATAACACACACTCAGAAAAAAAATCGACATATGTTCTCCCTCATATGTGGATCCTGGAACCAAACCCTGATAAGTGAGTATGTATTCAGACATAACTACAAGAACCAGGATAATGGAAAGGAAACATGGAGGTAAAGGAAAAGAAAGACCCTGAAAGAGAAGAACAGTAGGAAACAGGCCTTAATAAGGGAGATATGGATAAAAATTGGGTTAGTTTAAGGGAGGAGGGAGGGAAGGGTATACAAGGAACCTAGGGGATAAGGTACTTAAGAGAGGTAGGACCATAGGAGAAGGGTATTAGTAAGGGAGAAAGGGGGGAAATGGGGGCACCTCAAGTGGGAAAACCATGATGGAGGGGTGAGAAAATGCAAGAGATAAATAATGCCTAGCTACTTTTAAAAACCAGAGGGAACCATAGTACTCCAGCAACCTACGGACAAATTATACATAGCAGATCAAGAAATATATGGCTAGGCAAGGTTTATCTGAAAACAATTGGTCTTTGCCCAAGATTTATCTACATGACACACAGTAATTA